GTTCGCTTTTTTTCTCTCTGTAGGTCGGAGAACGTCCGTTGCGCGCGTTCGTCGAAAGTAGGTCACCCCGCCCACTTCGCGCGGCTCACCCCAATGAGGTCTCAAGATGATATTATAGTACCACCAAGTGTCAGTGGAGCAATCGATTTACATTTGTCCGTGTTATCTTCTCTTTGGCTCACTGCCGTGAACCAAGCGCAAATCGTATGCCCCACTGACAACTGCGACGTATGTCAAGTATCGCGGGCTGACCCACCGCATGCGGCGGCTGCGGCGTGACCTAGTTTCAACGGACGCGCGCAACGAAGCGCACCCCTGTAGGCCAGACAGAAGTCGATAGAACAATAATTTACTACAAGAGGAATATAAATAATGTACAAGAGGTGATAAAAAAGCAACAAGAAATCTAACTGCCCACAGCGGGCTAGCAGTCAAAGGAGATAGTTGTCCTCTTTTTAACACAATGAAATCAAACTCATATAACTGTTATAATATAATAAAGCTTCACAGGATTGGCAATTCATCAGGGTGTTCCATTTAGCTCCAGCCCTACCCATCAGAAAAAAATATAGTACACAGTACCATATGAAAAAATATGAACATAAGAAGGAACATGAATATGAACAGAAAATATATATAAATGTAAAATAGCTACGAAATATACTATAGGAAAATATCAGCACTCGTAGATTGATATCAATCAGTTCACAGTTAAAGGCACAGTTCGCGATGAAAACGGTCCCGACGAACCCCGGAAGGGGACGAGTTCAGCGGCATTATAGGAGGCTGATATTAATTGAAATAGAGCACCTTTGCTGAAAACAAAATCGGCTGATACACAGTAATAGCTAGCGCTTGTTTTTCTGCAATATGACTGGAATCACGTCCAGTTATACCCTTCGTCATTACAACCTGTCTGACAGAGATATGAGTACTTCAAAATACTTTCAGGAAGTTTTAGTCTTCCCCGTTCCTTCTTCAACCATAAACTATTCTCCATCAGCTTTTTCGCCTTATGACCCATTATAGGAACACGAAGTTACCGTGGGCTGTACCTCCAAGTTAATCTCACATAATACAAGATATATCAAAACTCTGAAATCTCGGAGAAAGCCATTTTTGGGAACATTCAGCCGTCAGATGACGGATGGAGCCATGTGGCATCCTTTGTGGTATTCTATACTTTGCGGGAAGTCGGACGACCACAGACACGTTTTCCTCCCGGTGGTTTCGCACTCGCAGGCCTCTTCCGTGGTACCTATAAATCCAGAACTCAAATGGTTCGGCTTGTTACAAGAAAATCGGTGTTAAAAGTTATTGATCGCCTTTCACAGGCCTCACAGCTACTAAATTGTTGAATACCTCTATTGTAGCTATGTTGGACTGAAAGTAAAAAATTGGAAAGCAGTACCGATCCTGTAGAAGGTTCTCCTTTGCAGGGATTTTTATCAGCAGCACCACTTGGTGGTGGAACGTTCGGAGAACTATTGGAGCCCTCTGGGACCATAGTGGAACCACCTTCGCCAGGCTTAATAAACAAATCGGCAACTTGAATCCGAAATTTCAAAAAATAACCGACTTTCCCTTCAGATACCTTATTCTCTGCAATTCTCATGATTACTTTCGTATTCGCTGTAAGTGCCTCTATCTCAAAATTCGAGTCTTCATAGTCCTGGTCGACATCAAAACCAATGATTGGACAGATTCCTCTTATGGGCTGATAGCCCTGTAGCATTGGTAGTTCATCAGTAAGTGTCCAACCTGGCGGGAAAAGATCCACACCAACGGATCCTAAACAGTATCACTTTAGTCCTGACAGTAAGTTGTAAGAGAACGAGGGTTACTATGATAAAACAGAGACCTTAGCATAATCTAGACGTTAGTTGCCCTATGAACATGGGCCATTTGCGCCATTAAGCCATGTGGCGTGTCGCGCACGACGTCCCTCTCGCCGCGTCGCGACAATTTCGATTCCACGGCACCACACCCTTCTTCTTGCACCACCACCGGCAATCGCGACAAAGAGTAAGTAAACGGGACAACTCGAAATTCAAAAAACCACACTACCCAAACAAATGGGTTTTTTCTGCACTCCTGAGTATGCCCTGAGTACTAAGCATGTGAACTCTCATTTCCCAAGTTTACTGGTTGGAGTTATAGACAAAAATTACTGTTTCCATCTTTTTTTACATACAATTTTTGGTCATTCTGGTCAAGAAGAACAATCGCGACGTCCGTCAAAAACCGTAGGCGGACGCGCCGCGCGCGACGGCTGCGGCATGACTTGACGGACGCGCGGAATGAAGCGCCCACGTGGTAGTGGTGTGTGATTATTCCGTGAATATACAACCCGGGGAGATTGAAGTATTCTGCGTAAAGCAGCAACAACGGCTAGGAGCTTTCTATTAATTCCGACAATTGTAGTACTATTCCACTGTAAAAGAGAAATTGCTGACACACTTACCATGCCCCTCCTATATCTGGACCCAGCCTGATGAAAGTTACTGTACAAACTCTAACTTGTTCTTTGTATCGAGCGTAGGTCATATAAATGAAATTAATCAGCAGAAGGCTCACTCAGTCTATTCTGCAGGAGCTTTTGAACAATGCCCGAATTCCATCTTGTAGGCGGGCTTCTTAGAAGGTAGTAGTAGAGGTTCACAATCTGAACGGGTAGAAAGTAGCACTGGCCCCTACAGATTGAAGGGTTCCTTTTAAGGAAAACAAAAGCTTACTCTAGCAAGTGGTAAACTATCCGCTATACATTTTTGTGCTTCATACACATATAAACCAAATCGGCGAAGATCACGCTCTGCCATTTCTGTGGTGGTGAAGAACTCGAACAATGGCTTAAAGTACCCTCCATGATGTTCTCGTTATTTACATTGGAACTCAATATCAAACATTACCTCATAACCCCTCTTGTTCGTGTGATGCCTCTTCTTCTTCTTTCTCTTCGATATCTTTTCATGGAGTGGAGGATGAGGATCAGGGCATGGTGCAGAAGGACCAGGATCAGATGAGGTAGGGGCAGATGAGGTTGATAGAACCGTTGGTGCTGGTGCTGACGCCAGTAGTGGGGGTGCAGGCACTGGGTCCGGTTGAGTTGTTGATCGTGAAGGGTTCTTGTTCCCTTCAGTAGGTGATTCTC